CCCCCCCCCGCCAGGTGAAGTTGTGTGTTCTATCACAACAACAACTTAGAGTGTGTTGTTGTGTATCTGGACATAGTAATTAGAAATAACAAACTCTAACTGTAGATTTGTTTTTTAACTCAAGGAGCTCTTTCTGTATCGGTTCTTAAGACCTGCCATTTTGGGACGATGTGTCCCCTTGCCAGCCTGGCGAGGACTTTCTGAGACGGCCCTCGGCCCGCGTTCCTCTCGGCGTTTTGAAGCTTTTAGGAGTATACATTGTGTGCTTGGGGAGGAGGGAGGCAGGGTGAAATTGTGCTTTTGTGTTTATCTTCAGGACTGCATTAACCTATATTACTTGGAAAATAAATTCCTATGGGAAGGCCTTCTCATTTAATATCATTGGCGCTTCACACTTGATCTTAGCCAAAGGCTGAGAAGCAAGAAGTGCTTAACCTGAACATTGTGTGTGTGGTGGGTATGGGGGTATGGGGGACATTGTTATGGGGAGGGGATCTGGATTTGCAGAAAGGATCTACATCCTCACAGTGTCTGTTTCTTATATATCTAATTTCTAATTCAGGCTGGAAATCAAAGTGCTATTTTAAAAAACCCACTAAGCAAGACTTTGTAGCAAGTGTTAGTATTTCACCCAACAAGTGAACTTTCCCTGATAAAACTTAGTAAATGCTTACAGTGATTTGGTCCTACAACTTTGAAGTGTGTGTGTATTTTAAGCATGACTTGTGGCTGGTGGATGCCTTGAGTGTTCACCATTGCTGTTGGTTCGTTGCCCAGGCCCTGTCCTGTGCAGTCCCTCTGAGTGGATTCAGACCACTAGCCTTCTGGTCAGAAACTGAGTGCTGAACTGTTGCCCTACCCGCGCGCGCCCCCCCCCTTAGCTGTTGTTCACTTGATCCCCAGCTCCTCATGACTCACCGTCACAGTGGGACCAATCAGCTACCTGTGACCTGTTGCAGACTGGACTTACAGTCCATCGAGTTTTCATCGGCCGATTTTCTGGAGGGGTTTCTTCCTAGTTCCTTTTATCATGTTTAGTAAAAGGCTTATTACATCACTAGCACTACTTTGTATTAAGATGAATAAAATGGTTTGGTGGGGATGGAGAGATTTTTTTTTTACATGGGTGTGGAAAAAAGTCATTCTTGATTTATCTCTGAATCCCAACTTGTTTTACATTGCTTTCCTTTAGCTTATTTTTGCCGGAAATCATCTGGGTCACTTTTTACCTCATGAATCGTGCTTGGAAGAGTGAGAGTCTGAAATCCAAATAGGATGGTTTCTTAGCACTGCGAGAGCCCTCATCTCTGTTATGCAGAGCTAGCAGCAGCAGGGAATGTGGGTTTAGCTTTCAGATGGTGCAGGATGGAGGGCTGACAGGGCCTGCCAGCTGTCAGCACACCTCTGTCCCCTCTTTCTCTCCCAGTATAAACATGGAAGCAGGACTGGAGTCTTCTGGAAGACTGGTTTCTCATAGTGGTTTCAGCTCTCACCTCATAGGCTAACAGGTCTTCTTAGACCGCCACAGCCCTCAGCCAGCACTGATGGCCAGGTAAGTGCCTTGCTAGCAGGCCGAGTCCGAAGGAAGACATTGCAGGAGGCACAGGAAATAATGTTGCTTCTGTTATATAGGATATTTAAATGATGCCGCAGGCCCAATGGAGCGTTTAGAAATGCTTACGGGGTTTGATGTGATTGCTTAGGCTTTGTGCCTTTTGAGAAAAAGTGGATGAGACTCTCTTCTGCTTTGCTTCAGGGGTTGTCGAAGGAGACCTGGCTGCTGTCGAGGCGTACAAGTCCTCTGGGGGCGACATCGCGCGGCAGCTGACGGCGGACGAGGTGCGCCTGCTGAACCGCCCGTCTGCGTTTGACGGCGGCTACACGCTCGTGCACCTGGCCATCCGCTTCCAAAGGCAGGACATGCTCGCCATCCTGCTGACGGAGGTAAGGGCGGTGGCGTCTGGCCCAGTCCCCTCTGATGCTGGGGAAGACGTCGTTTTGTTTTCAGTTCTGACACTAGGATGCTTCTCCAAGCAATTTTAAAAGTTATTTTAGGCCTCCTCTCCCCAGATTTCATACTTGTTTTCTGATTAATACAGTCACATATAACTTGAGACTTCAGCAATATATAATTTGTAAGGATCAATGCAATGAAAACACTGTACCTTGCCATAGCTACACTAATGGGCTTATTTGGGAAGTACCTTGCATTTTCTCAGTGCGCACTGTGTGCCAGGCATTAATGCGAAGAAGGGGTACTTCAGGGACTCCTCAGGGAGTTTCTCGAGCGGTACACATACATAGGCAGTTCTGTACAGCCGGTGCCAGGGGGACTGAGAGTTTTGGAGGTGCCACAAGCTTCTCTTTGAGGAGGGAACAACTTAGCCACAATCTGAGGTGGGAAGCACAAATTAGATGGGTGCACTGTGGGGGAGGGGTGGTGGTGAAAGAAACCATTGCTATGGGGCTCCGAGGGGGTCACCGGTGCCTCGAGCCCTTCAGTTAGCATTCGGGTGACCGTGTTGACCATTTGCCCTCCCACGCCTTGATGTTCCCATATTCAAACAACCCAAACTCGCTGTTGTCCAGTCGTTCTGACTCGTTGTCGTCACCCTCTGGGACAGAGCAGAAGCACCCATGGTGTTTTTAAGGCTGTCATTATTAGGGGAACTGCCCATCTCTCTTCTGTAGAGCAGCTGGTGGCGGGTTTGAATCCCCGACTGGGTAGCACCCTGCACCAAGGTGATGCCAGAGACTTTATGGTTATTCCAAGCACTCAAACTGTGCAACAGGGTGGAAGGGAGTGTTGGCTTTTTACTCTTCCTTGGAAGCCAGGAGTTCCCTGGCTTCCGGAAAGACACTTACCTTATTACGTGCCATCGAGTGGGTTCTGTGCACAGCAGAGGGAAACACTGCCCGGTCCCGCGCCATCCTCACCGCCCATTGCGTGGCTGTGGGCTCAGTGCGTCCCTTTGAGGGCCTTCTCTTTTGTGCGGCCACTCGCGGTGCCACGCGTGCCATCCTCCTCCAGTGACTGCTCTCTCCTGACAACATGTTCAGAGATGTGACATGAAGTCTTGCCATCCTCGCCTCTAGGGAGCACTCTGGCACACGTCGTCCAATACAGATGGGTTTGTCCTTTTAGCAGTCCGCGGTACTCTCAGTATTCTCCAGCGCCCCAGGTCAAACGCACCGATTCTTCCTTGTTCAGTGTCCAGCTTTCTCATGCGGATGTTGCAAAGGGAAATACCGTGGCTGGGGTGCAGCGCGCCTCCGTCCTCAAGGGGTGCGAGATGGCGAGTCTGATTTTGGTGGTTTCTGCCCTCCCTCCTTCCCTCCCACCACGGTGTCTTTCTCTGGGTGAAAGGTCAAGTCAGAGCTAGGAAATTTTTATGGCTGTTTCCCTGAAAAATTGTACCGCGGCTCCCGTTTGTGAGGGAAATAAACTTGCTAATAATACCAAGGACAGCTTAAGATGACAAAGCAACAACGAGATGCTGGCAGTGGCTGGCGACGCCTTCTCAGTGCTGGGCTCCTGGGAGCAAGCGCAGCCGGTGTCTTTGCTCTTTCAGGTCTCCCAGCAGGCCGCCAAGTGCATTCCCGCAATGGTGTGTCCAGAGCTGACAGAGCAAGTCCGCCGCGAGATCGCGGCCTCGCTCCACCAGAGGAAGGGCGATTTTGCGTGCTATTTTCTAACCGACCTTGTAACGTTTACGTTGCCAGCAGGTAAGTGTCACGTGGGCGCATGTGAAACTTCCCCCTCCTGTAGTAGTGTTTTCATGTGCGGGTGACCAGTGTAGCTTTGTGGGAAAGCAGGTATCTTGCTTGGCTGCAGTGTTCGCTTCTTCAGGTACGGCGCTCACTGATTTCTTACACTGAACAGAATGAGTTGGCTGCTGTAGGGCCACTCGGAAGGAAGGCAGCAGTTGAGTCTTAGGTGAGATGCAGAGACTTAAAAATCTGGCTTTACCCATTGGTTTTTCTTTTAGTTTTCATTTCTGAATACAGCTGTGTGATATTTTGGAATTAAGTAGGTTATATTGTCTCGTAGAATTTGTTGTTTGGGGTATGTTTGTTTCATAGAATTGAACACAGGCAGGCAGGTTAGTTGAGTCACAGCTTGTGACATGCTCTGGAAGGTGGTGTTCCTCGTCTTTTCTTCACTCATTGCTGCTGTCTTTGTGCAGCAGCCGTTCATTTTCCAGCTCAGCTCCCAGGGCTCTCTGCCACTTGGTGTTGAACACATGCAGCAAACAGTTACACAAACAAAGCCTCCATCTGGGTTCTGGGCATTTGGGTTAAAGCTGGAGGAAATGCCATTTGAAATTCACTCTGTACACACACACACACACACACTCACACTCACACTCATACTCACACTCACATATATACTTGAGAGAGATATCTACTATTTTATATGAACTTTTTGAAGCCCCCTTTTAACATTTTAAGCTTATTCCAAATGATTAGATATTTTGTTTCAAATTTGCCTTTTCAAAAAATTGTATGTTTATAGGTAACTGCCCTGTTGTTAGTCCGCAGCTGCTCTGGGCAGTACACTGAGCCTGTGAGGAGGGGCACACAGCAGGGCTGTGCACCAGCGTTCATGGGTGTGGGTGTGGGCATGGGGGTGGGGCAAAAGAATAGTTTGCACGCCCCAGCCTGGACAGAGGGCGGAGTATGAAAGGACAAGAAGTACAAAGGGTGCTACCCATGCTCATGCTGACCCGAAGAAAGGGGATTATTTCAGGCAAGTTACTGTGAGGCGGCTCATGTCAAGTCGTGATGCTTAAGAAGATCTTTCCAAAATGAGGACTGATGCCGGGGGGCTTAAGTGGAGAGGAAATGCTTTGAGAATGATGAGGACAATGAGTGTACAAATGCGCTTTACACAATTGATGTGTGTATTGATTGTGATAAGAGTTGTATGAGCCCCTAATAAAACGATTTAAAAAAAAAAAAAGATCTTTCCAGGTTGCTTTGTCTTTGCAGATATTGAAGACTTGCCCCCAACAGTCCAAGAAAAACTATTTGATGAGGTGCTTGATAGAGATGTGCAAAAAGGTAAGCGGGCATCCAGGGTGCAGGTGACCTTTCCCTCAGTCACCCCCTCACCCATTCACTCACCCAGTCACCTCGTCACCCACTCACTCACTCACTTACCCACTCCCTCCCTGCTTTGTTGATTGGTCTGCGGTTGCCTTCCTGTATTGCTCATGTAAATCAAAAGAAAGGCTTTGAGGACAGTGTCCTCCTGTGCTGGATACTGTCCAGGTGGATTGGAAAGCATTCATAGGGTAGTCCTAGCTGGGGCAGAGTGAATAAAAACAGGTGTAGACATGTAAACTCTGCCTTTCCACTCTTCACTGCGACAGTGTGGATAGAGAAACATAGAAATGTCAACCGTGGCTTCCTGTTCCAGACTGGGCATGCCTCCACTGGAATGGGTTTTAGAAAATAAAGGATGAGGAAATGATTCTTGGGCCACAGGATAATTCACCTGTTCACTCTACAAGTGTATGTTCCTGGTGATTAGCAAACTACCTATCAGCCTATTTATGCAACACAGCCTAACCCCACCCCTCGGATATTCTTTAGTTTACACATGCAAAAATGAGCATGCCATTCGCATTCCTTATTTAGAGTTAGAAGAGGAATCTCCAATTATAAACTGGTCCTTGGAACTGGCTACGCGCTTGGACAGTAGACTGTATGCACTTTGGAATCGGACCGCAGGAGACTGCCTCCTGGACTCCGTCCTGCAAGCCACCTGGGGCATATATGACAAGGACTCGGTGCTCCGGAAAGCCCTGCACGACAGCCTGCACGACTGTTCGCACTGGTGAGCTGGTGCCCTTGCCGTGACGCCCGTGCTGTGTCCTCCTGGCTGCTGCACCATGGTGGGGGGAAGCCAGCAACTCTGATTTTCTTCAAAATAGACAAAAATTCTTACACCTTTTTACTGAATTCAAAAATGGAAGTAATTGAAGTTATAGCTAAATATTGGCAAGCCTTTTGTTCATATTTTTAAATAGTTGATGGTTTTATAGTTTTGCTCACCTTTTAAGAGATCCTGTTGAATGTGTTGGAGGTGTTCTTTGTTTCTTCGCTAAGCTGGTAGTTTTAAGAGTTAGTTGTGTTAGTCCGGGTTTACTAGAGAAACAAATCCAGGGAGACTCATCATATGTGTATAAGAAAGAGCTTTATATCCAAGAGCAATTGAATATTGAGAAAACATTCCAGCCCAGTCTAGATCAAGTCCATAAGTTCGATATTAGCCCCGTATGTCCAATACCAATCTATAAATTCCTCTTCAGACTCATGCAACACATGCAGTGATGCTGAATGCAGGAAGATCACAGGCCAGCTGGTGGAAAGTCTTGTGGATCCAGTGGTGGTAGAAGTCCCTCAGCGCTGGCAGGGCTCTCCACGTGGCTCCTCCATCTCCAAGGCACTAACATAGCTCCATGTGTCTTGTCCACAGGAATGTCTCGCAGGGAGTGAGTGTGTGTCCTGCCTCCAGCAACCTACTTATCTCCTTAGTGCCTCCAAATGAGGTCATCAAGCTACAACCTGATTGACAGGCTAAACTCCACCTCTTTAGTCTTGTCTCATATTGACACCAGATTATGTAACTACCACAACCTTTGTTTTTCGTTTTTGGCACATTTTCACACCCACAGAAAAGCTTAAAAACAAAAACTTCCATCAGCCGGGATCGCTCTGATTTGTGTCCAATGGCTAACCTTTCCCTCCCTGTGTTGGTTTCTGTGCCAAGGCTCTGCCCTCTGTGCCTGTTTGATCCGCCCTGGAGCTTTCTTCTGCAGGGTTGCAGCAGGGTAGTCCTCGTGCCCACGCACATCCTGGCTGTGCGCCTGAGCAGATCAGCGGGAAGTTGGCTGACCTACCTATAGCCCATTTCTCCAACTGTCTAGAAAAATGCCCTCCATGATGATTTGCTTACCTATTCCAGAATCCTAAGAAGTGTGTGACAGGCATGGAGCTCTGAAGTCCCTCTTGAGCTTAGTTCCTGAAAGCTTGTGACTGTGGGTGGGTTGTCTGCTGTAATAGAAGCACCTGCAGGGATGGCTTCCACCAGCACGTTGAGTTAGTCTCTCATGGTTGAGGAAATGCGAAGTCTGCCTGTCGGCTCTGAAGGGGAAGGGTTTGCCATCTCTGAAGCTGCTACTCCATGCTGTCTTCGTGTGGCATCTCGTCTCTGCCTGCCCACTGGCTCGCTTAATCTCTTAAGTCACAGAGGGTGATGCAGCCGACACGTCCTGTGCTACTCCTCACTCATGACGAAAACAGCTCCTCCGTGTGAGCAGAGAGTTCTGGTGTACAGCATGGAGGTTTGGGGGCACACTGTAGCCTGGAACATTCAACAGTGCACTCTTGTATCTGTCTTTGACTTACTGGAATTTACTGGATCCCCCATCCGGTTGTTTTATAAGTGAGAACAGTGAAGTTCAAAGTGCCCTTGATGAAGCTTGTAGGTCGCAGAACTCACTTTCAAGCGCACACTTTTCCTACATCAGAACAAGTGTTGATTCTTCTGGCCTGTCACTCGGTGGAGCAGCAGGGCAGGGAGGCGGGATCGCTCTGTTACCGAGGTGCTTCATTCCGAGCAGCATCAATTTCCTTGGGTTCTTTTGTCAGGACAGGGGTTCTGTGAAGTCCACTCATTGGTCCACTGCAGGAGAACAGGGCCTTTGTTCTGTCTCTCCCACCGCGGGACACATAGGAAATGCTCAGTTCGTAGGACCAAAAGGGCTACCTTAGAATTTCTAAGTAGAGCCGCCCAAATGCTTCCTGGAGGGTAGACACACAGCTCGGGAGGAAGCTGCTGTTAGCCGGGGGAAGTGGGGCAGACGTATCCTGGAGCTGAAGAAAGGATGTTTCTCCAACAGATGGTCTGGCCCAGGCAGAAGGGCCTTTTAGCCCGGGACTCTGGGCTGTGGGTTGATTTGAGTGTGGGGGCACGGGCACAGCTGTTCTCACTTGGAGGTGGGGCCCTCAGGGTAGGGCAGGCCTGGTGACAGGCAGCCTTTGGGTGCTGGTCAGACAGTTGTGGCTGGTCAGAGAAGTTTGGGTGGTGGTTGCTCCAGGCTGGTAGCGATGGTCCAGAGTGGAATTGTCACTCATTTGTATTAGGATACGGATTCTGTGGGGGCTCGGGGTTCTTTGAAATCCTAAAAGTTGAATGGAGGTGGGGAGAGTTAGTTCCAGGTTTTAAAGAACAAGTGACTCGTGTTCCTTCTGGACATCGGAAGTCACCTGTGTGTTCACGCCTTTCCCAGCAGACCCTGGGAGTTGGAGGCCCCGACTCAATGACTTGTCAGAAGGGAGGCTCCCAGGTTGGAGCGTGTCCCTTGCAAGTCTCCACCTGGACTCTTCCCAACCTGGGTATGTTGAGGCAGAGAAAGCGATGGGCTCAGAGTAGTAGCTCAAGGTGAGTTGGGGTGCAGGCAGGGCAGGTGTCAGTGACCATGGGTCAGGTATATCGGCCTCAGTGGGCAGCACGCAGATTCTCGCCTAGGTTGAGTTGTGACAGGCTTGTTCCCCGGGTGACGGCGAGCACAGTGGTGAGCAGTCCTGTGTCCTGTCGTGTGCTGGGAGGAGCTGGCAACTCTTTTTTTTTTTTCCTTTAAATTTACTTTAATTGCATTTGAATATATTCATATTTTATTACGTGTCTATAGAAATTTAACACTCAAGTGTGTGCAATAGCCTTCTGTGGCAGAGGGCACACACTATACACAAATATCACACACTAAGATACAGTACCACATTTGACAAGACGGTTTTTTGATTCAGTCAAACTAGGCTAGACAAAGCAGCAAACTCAGAGTGAATGATTTCCATTTTAGAATGCAAGTGAACGTAACATTTTGTGAATGTTACAAATAACAGGCAGACTTCCCCAAACTCAGACTTTTCCCCAAAGACTATACATAGACAGGTTCACGATATAGAAACCTATACTTTACTGCCATTGGGGGTTTTGTTTTAACACAGCATACATTACAGACACGCCATACAGTGCAATTTTGTATAAGAAGTGAGTAATAGTGCACGAGCTGGCAACTCTTAACCAGCTGTTTGCTGAGGTGCTCTTAGAGCACCACCCAAACCCAGTTGAGCTGAGACATCTTCTTAATGTCTCGTGGACACTATGCAGTAAGATCCAAAGACCATGCTACTTAAATCTACCCTGTCAGCACTCGAGGATCAGCTCTTTTGCTGTGTTGCTGGAGGAGTCTGTTGGTGGAGTGGTTGCACCTGGACTGCTGACCAGGTCTGCAGCAGAGACTCCGGGCAGGTCTAGTCTGCCTCCTGGGGTCGCTGGGAGTCCACAGCCACTCGATGATGCCAGGTTGGTTTTGAGAGCTGCACTGCTCTAGTGGGTGCCTGTGATTTGAGCAAGACGGAATAGTGTTACTCGCCTTACTGACAAGCCAATCCAATTTCTCAGAGAGCCCAGTGAGGATAGTTAGTGCAAGTAGCAAACAAAAAAACAAAACATTTAAACAACATAGCGAAGCCAAACCACACCCGACAGGGCAGTTTTTTAAAACTTAATCACTGTCGTTTTGGTGAGACTAGTAGCAGCTTTCTGTTTTAGTTTCAGTTTTTACTGCGAGCTGCTGCAAATCCGGTTAGGAAATTGACCAATAATTAAAAAAAATCAGCCTTCTTCAAAGACATGCATAATACTGCTCGCCCTTATCGATTTAGCTATAATAAAATATTAATAGGTATTGCTAAGATGCCTGGAGTTTATTCTTGCCCTTTTTAAAAAACAGCTTTATTGAAGTGTAATTTGCATGCCACCCAACTGACTTCCTGGTGGTTAGTGAACCTTTCAGAATTGTGCACGAATGGTCATCGCGACCATCTTTTATTCCTGCCACTCACAGAAGCCAGTCAGCCCCACTGTCCCCTAAGTCTGCTTTTGGTTTCTGTAAGCTTACCCTTTTCTGGATATTTTATCTACATGATTCATATAACATTGGTCTTTGTGATTGGATCGCTTCACTTAGCCTAGTATTTTCAGGTTCATTCATGCTGTGGCTTCCTCCCCCTCCTTATTGTCAAATAATATTCCATTGTATGGTTCATCTGTGATATATACTGTGTGGGGGGTCATCTGTCCATTGGGTGGTTTCTACCATTTGGTTATTATGAAGTGTGTTACTATGAACAGTCATGTCTAGCTATCTCTGAGGACATGGATTTTTGTAAAAAAATTTTTTTATTGGGGGCTCTTATAATAATCCATACATCAATTGTGTTGTCATCATTTTTAAAACTTTTTATTTGAGCCCTTGGTATCAGTCGCGGCCCCCTCCCCCCAACCCTTGATAAATTACAAATTATTTTCATATCTTACACCATCCACTATCTACCTTCACCCACATTTCTGTTGTTTGTCCCCCTGGGGTGGGGAAGGGGGTCTATACGTCGATCATTGTGATTTGTTCTCCATTTCTCCCCCTTATTCCCTCCCGTTCCCCCTCCCCTCATGGTATCACTACTCTCATTACTATTCCTGAGGGTTTATCTGTCTTGGATTCTGTGTGTCCAGAGCTCTTTTTTTTAAAAAAAAATTATTTTATTGGGGCTCGTATAACTCTTGTACCAGTCAGTCAGTGTATATGCTCCGATCTACTGTATTTGTAAAGTAGAACCGGGGTCATGATGGTGGCAGGGCGGAAGCCTTAAAGAACTAGAGGAAAGTTGTATGTCTTGTCGGTGCTATGCTGCATCCTGGCTGACTCGTCCCTTCCTTGTGACTCTTCTGTGAGGGGAGGTCCAATTGTCTACAGATGGGCTTTGGCCTCTTATGACACCCCCCCCCTTTCACATCAAAATGGTTGTTTGTTTGGGGGTCTTCTGATACCTGATCCCAAGGACGTGGAATTTTTGTTTTTATTGGTAGATATATGAGAGGAATTTCTGGCTCATGTAGATTTAAATTTCAAGAAATTGCGAAGCTGTAACTGGCAGTCCTTTTGGTCGTAGCCATTCTGTGCGTGTGCAGTAATACTTCTCGTCAGGTTGGTGTGCATTTCCCACATCGCTGGAGACGTTGACATCATTTCTTGTACTTGCTATTTGCAGATCTTTGTTAGTAACATATCTTTTCCTATCTTGGGCCCATTTTAAAGTGAGTTTTCTTATTATTGATTGAGTGTTCGGCATTCTGCATATATTTTGGAGGTAAGTCCCCCATCAGTATGTAGATCGTTTCCTCCAGTCTGTGTTTGGCTTATTCAGTGCTTTGGATGTGTCTTTAAAGGCAACGGTTTGTCTCCAGAATCTGAACTCTGTTCCCTGGTGGGTCTGTGTTTCAGTCCTTGTGGATGCCACCCTCGCTGGTTGGCTGTGGTCTTGTGCGCAGCTTTGAAGTCAGGGTGGGGGGGGGCCTGTTTGGCTCTTTTTCAAGATTGTCGGGTATTCTGGGCCTTCTCAGCATCCATTTAAATTTTAGAATCCAGTTGTCAGTTTTGCGCAAACAGAAACAAAACAGCAGAAACATTCACTGGGCTGTCAACAGGAAGTAGCTCTGATTCTCTCGATGCCAAAGGAAGTATTGCCAGTGTGACGGTGTAGACTCTTCAGTCCATGAGCAGCGTGTGGTGTTTGCCTGGTTTACCATTAAAAATCAGTCTGTGTCCCTGGCATAGCGTCCCCTTCTGGGTGGCTAGATTTGGGTACACGCTTATCTGTTCTCAGTGAGCTGGGCAACTTCAGGGGTTGGCCTTGGTGGGGGTGACTATTAATGTAGATGTGTGCCTTAATCCAGTGGTTGCTGCAGACGAGCCACTGTCCCCGCCATGAAATGAGTTGGGGGAGCATCCAACTTAAAACTCACCTATCATGTCCACTCTGATGAGTTTCTCACTGGGACTTTCAAGTGGCATATTCGATGTGGGGGCTAAACCAGGCAAAGACTTCACAGCATTATAGGTACTGTTTTTTCAACATTCAGCATTGTGATCAAAACCCTGGGTCACCTGGCTAGGGACCTTTCCTCTAGGCTAGGCAGAGCTCTGTGGTGCTACAAACTGATGCAGTCTGCTCAGGCCCCCGCTCTCAGACTTGCATGGTCTTTCAGACAGTGAACCACAATCGTGAGTTTCAAGATTTCTGGTTTTGGTGTAGAGAAGAAAAAGTATTTGGATAGCGGGGGTTAAATTGGGCAGAAATTCTTGTAGTTGCCCGTTTGGGGTGCGTGCGTGCGTGCTTTGTGTCTCCACCGGACCATCAGATGGTTCTCAGAAATGGTTTCCTTTCTGGGGAGACCGTGTGGCCTTGCCCTTGCCGCGCGCGCGGGCCTGCTTACCGTTGTGCATTGGTCCAGGACGGGGGCTGGCTCTGATTGCAGGCACTCCCAGAAGGTTCGTTTTGTAGACCAGTGTTCCTCCCGACGGACTGCCTGCCTCACTGTTGTGGGAACTCGCTGGCTGCAGGTGAACCCAATCCTGGTTGAGTACGGGTGGCTCGCTAGTGAACGGGAGCATTTTTCATTTTGAAATAATATTACAAGCCAGATAAAATTGATCACATTTTTTAATATGAATTACTTAAAGACCTTATTATGTTCACGGTCAGACCTGTAAATGTACTGCTTACTCAAGCTTGTTGACATGCTTCCTTTTCAGGTTTTACACACGCTGGAAAGATTGGGAGTCATGGTATTCCCAGAGCTTTGGTTTACATTTCTCCCTGAGGGAAGAACAGTGGCAAGAAGACTGGGCCTTCATACTCTCTCTTGCCAGTCAGGTAAGAGTGCTGCAGGGGGAGGAAGTGAGGCGCCTGCTGGAAGCCATTTCCCATGCTACCCTGGATCAGTCTTGGGGGCAGAGCACCTGCCCTGGCACCAGGTGGCTTGGGTTGCAGTCCGGACTGCTGTTGGTCAGTGGTGTGCCTGCCGCCAGGCTTTGCTCGGCAGCAGCAGGAGAGGGTGCAGACCCATCTCCTCTCCAGAGTACCTTTCCGGAAGGTGGTCCAGCTCTCTGCTACCTGCCCCCAGGCTAGTGCCTGGCTGTGCCTGAGTGGGGCAAATTGTCCAATCACTAGAGCAGCCGGCACCAAGTGGCCTAGGCAGAGAAGCTGCAAGCCGCTTGCTGCGGCACAGCGTGCTGTGAAGGGGGGACTGGTGGTCAGCCAGCGCCTAGCACTCGCGGTCGTGGTGGCCTCCCCATTTCCTGCTTAGACTCTGACCTCACCATCTTTGGTTTTGTGAAATACATTCACAAACATGTGACCCAGCCAGCCCACCCTTTTCTCCTGGCCCATAATGAGGAAGGGTCACCGGTCCGAGGCCCCGTAGTTGTCCCTTTGATGGCAGGGCAGGGCCCGCGGTGGCTAGTGCACGCGGACAGTCTTTGGCGTTGTGGAATTCTCGAGTTCAGAGACTGGTTCAGTGGGTATGAAACGCAAAGCGCATCTTCAGTCTCAGAAAGCACTGTTGCTGGCAGTCCGTTCAGCCAGACGGTGGCCAGCGAGCCCTGTGCTGAGAAGCTGGTTAAACGGCCATCTTGAGATGCTGATCTCGTCTGTGGCTGCCGGGCTGGGAGCGCGCCGTGGGAGGTGCCTGGGTTTCTGATGCTAACCTGGGGCTTCCTTGGGTGTGGGCGTGGTTCTCCTGAAGACGACGGTTGGTTTTCACCCGTGGGTCTGGGAGCTAAGTGTCTTTTCATTGTGCTCTGTGCAGCCTGGCGCCAGTTTGGAGCAGACACACATTTTTGTACTTGCGCATATTCTTAGACGACCAATCATAGTGTATGGAGTAAAATATTATAAGAGTTTCCGGGGCGAAACCTTAGGATATACTCGGTTTCAAGGTAAGTCATGGTATCCCTCATGGGTTTTGGGGGTTTCTGGTTTTGTGTGTCTGAGGTCCCCCTGGGGGCAGGGCCTGCTGGGCACTCTGCTGACCTGCCCTCTCTGTCCAGGTGTGTATTTGCCTCTGCTGTGGGAACAGAGTTTCTGTTGGAAAAGTCCGATCGCTCTGGGCTACACAAGGGGCCACTTCTCTGCTTTGGTTGCCATGGAGAATGACGGCTATGGCAGCCGGGGTGCCGGTGCTAACCTGAACACGGACGACGATATCACGATCACGTTTCTGCCTCTGGTGGACAGCGAGCGGAAGCTGCTCCACGTGCACTTCCTCTCTGCTCAGGAGGTAAGCCGAGTGCCCTGCCACCCACGCCGTCAGTCGCTCCTCTGTCTACCTACTGGCCAGGCTGACTGCCAGTCAGACCTTGTCAGAAGTGCTGTGGGTAAGGATTGGAGCTCAAGTCTCTGCCCTTGAGAGGTGGGCGGACCCTCCCTGGAGGGCCTCGCTGAGGAAGGTGACTGGAACCAGAGATTCCAAGAACAGGAAGTTGTGCAGTCTTGGGACCAGTGCGTGCAGAGGGTCTACAAGCCAGTGCGGCATACAGGGGTGGGTGGGCAGAGGCAGGCTACAAGATTAGTGGTGGCGGCAGGCCACTGGAAAGGCTATGAGAAGCTGTGGCCTTCCCTCTGGGCAAGCTGGGAGCCTCTGGGACTAGAGGTGGCACGAGCAAGATCCAGGTCAGAGCCATATGGGCCAGCTGTTGGCCATGGTGCTTCTTGGCAGCCTTTTCAAATGGCTGTCCCTGGATGCATGCTCTCTGGCAGACTTAGTCAGGGTTGACAAGAGGGCAGCTGTGGACGGCGGTGGTGTGGCCTTTGGGCCACTGCTGGTCCAACTGTCGTTTTCAGTCAGTGGTCTCTTTCCAGCCTCCCGGAGTGTGCTGTAAGCCGTCTTTCTCCCCTTCTTCTCCTCCTCCCCCTCCCAAAGCTAGGTAACGAGGAACAGCGTGAAAAGCTGCTCAGGCAGTGGCTGGACTGCTGTGTGACTGAGGGCGGGGTCCTTGTGGCCATGCAGAAAGGCTCCCGCCGGCGCAGCCACCCCCTGGTCACCCAGATGGTGGAGAAGTGGCTCGACCGCTACCGACAGATCCGGCCGTGCACGTCCCTGTCTGATGGTGAGGAGGACGAGGACGACGAGGACGAGTGAACTCAAGGCCAGAAGGCACCGGGCAGACCGTGACTCCCCACACTAGTGTGGTGCTCCCAGCAGGGTGCCAGGGGTTAGGTGGGAGCCAGGCCCGCCAGCTCTGCTGGCATGTACTCCCCGCCCCCCTCTCCACACATACACCCCGGGAGGTGGTCGTGGAGGACTGGCAGACTATAGTTTGTACAAAACTAATTTTATTCAGACAGACTGCCCCCTTTGAATTGTACATCTGTCTATAAATGTGATGCATGTGGCTGTGTAAGGAGTTGTGTACTAGGAACGTGTGCCAGCATCCTCAACCCCCTGGGCCCCTCCCCCATGCATGGGCACTCACAGAGCACAGGGTAGATGAGGCTTTGTTCCTGATATGGTCTCCCCAGCAAAGCCCAGCCACCCACCTGCATTTCCCTTTGACCTACCCTGCGCACAAGCCTCGCTAGAGCTTGCCCTAGACATGCGACCTTTTCCGTATAAATTATCCACAGTAAAACGTAAAAAATAAACAAGGCTTTATTTTAATTTAGTTCCTGTTGTGCCCAATAAAAATCAAATCTTTAAGGAACAAACTGCAAGAAAGCAAAGAAATTTTGTGTGACTTCAGTCACTACCCTAGTTTTGAAAAAAAAAAAAAAATTAAAAAAAATTACTATGGCATCTTTTAAAGTTTATAGTATTCAGATATTTGTCTGGACGGGTGGCCTACATTGACGGCACGTCCTCCCTCCCGACTGTTGGTGGCGATTCCTCGGATGCCGCTGCGGGTGCCCTGGGGAGCAGGCCTGCCTGCACCGGCTGGAAACCGATGCTCCCAGATGGACTTGCCCGATGTCGCCTCCACCTGAGCTGGTGGAGGGCTGTGCGGAGGACCCACCAAGGAGAGGCTTCCCACCTCAGCCAGTGTGCGTGAGGCTCCTCAGTTGGGTGTGCCTGTTGGTTCATGGTGGCCGCCCTCACTAAAGGTCAGTTCTATGTGGACGTCATTTTAACAGAGTACTATTTGACCACTGAGTGAAAACGTCAAACTTCAGGACACAGATACTTCACACACTTGATGTGGCAAGGAATTTGGAAAGATCCCAGATAGTTACCAGTTATATTCTTCCTCCCCTTGCTGAGAAGGCTGTGGAAACCTTTAAATATCTGCTGCTTGTTTTCCCTCATTTCTGCTTGGATGGCATTGAAATGTGTGCTTCATTTGATGCTGGAATACTAAAACTAGAAACCCATCCCTGGTGTCTTTAGTGGTTCTTGCCCCCGAACACCTGGTGACAGGTGGTCCTGGGAGCATGGGGCCTGCTGCTGCACTTGGATGCGGCACATGTGCTCCGCTCTGCCCGGTAAGTTTGGGAGGAGGGGCTCATGTCAGCAAACACTGCCTTCCCTCCCCATGGAAGCGGCTAGAGGGCAGTGTTGATGGTGAAGCCGCTTGCCTTGGGTCCAAGTGGCCTGGTCAGTCTCCTTCCTCTGATTTGAGACCCTGTCTCGGCTTGTCTCAAGCTTGACAAGGAGCCACGTTCCTTACTGTGGGAAAGCAAGCGATGTGGGGCCCTGGCTTCCTGAGCCCGCACCTGGCAGGGCTGGGTGGGCACATTCGAGTTGTTGGCCACAGCCACTGGTTCAGACAATGGAAGTGATGTTGAAGCTCCTGAGGCACCAAGTCGCTGCCACTGCTGTGCCGGCATGAGCTCATGCGGTGGGCCATATCGCGGCATGCATTCTGGAACGCACGGGCTTCTTTGGAGGGGTGTCGGCTGGTTAGTCTGCGCTTAGCTTCCCAAGGTGGCCACTGACTGGAGCAGAGCAGAGCGCAGGCGTGACTCCTGGGTGACATACAGGCGTGCCCTCTATGGTGTGAAGGTGCTCTGGTCACTTGTCCACACGTTTCTAAGCAGGCAACCATGAACTGTTGCCCCTTGAGGTGCTAGGTGGCCAACAATGGGCCCCCCTCCCCTTTTCCCATGGCTCTTCTGCTGTTGATTGTTGTGGGGACAAGGCCTGCTGGCCTGTGTGGTTTTCCTGGAAGAGTGATGAACTGGACGGTGGGCAGTATGCTCACGGCAGCTCCTAAGCTCCTGACCTGACAGGAGCGAGTGCTGAACCCTTCCTTGTAAAGACAACACTGGGGCCGCTCCCAGTTGGGGACCTCCCTCCCTCCTTGCAGTAACGCCCAACAGGTGGTTTTGCTCCTGGGCAATACAATAAAAACAGAACCCTTTCCTGACTTCAGTTCTAACCGCTCCCCTCCCGGGCCAGCGGCAAGGGAAACGGACTCACAGCCGGGCCAGGGGCAAGGGAAACGGACTCACAGCCGGGCCCCCGCAGGCCGGCCGCCTCGAAGCTGCAGAATCGGCTGGTGACTGGAAACCCAGCTGCCCTTGAACATCTCCAAACTCTGTTTTATTACTTTTTATTGAAAACTGCACTGAACGCTAAATGTTCACCTTTACAATAAACAAATACAGGAACAGGAACACACACTAAAACAAAACATACTTCAGATAGCCATTATTCTGTTTGGGACAGCTTTAAAGTTTTTCTTTTGTCACAAAAACAGGAATGTACCTATACACAGGCTCAAAATAGGCCATCTTTCCAACAAAAAGGCGATGTGTCACAGACTATGAATATAACACGTAGCTAGTTGATACAAATCTAAGAGGATTTGTTAAAATCAGTCACATCTAGTAACACATCTGTTCTTGTATAAAATATCACGTGAAGAAAAGAAGATTTTATCAATGTCTAAAAAAGTGGGTTTGTTCATAGACAATCTGACAAGTGACCATAAAAAGGGTTTCCTGAGACATAAGGAAATGCAACAGTACTCTTGGACCCGCTCTGTCCAAGACTTTCCATCCATAAAATAGCCGAGGATCTGAAACTGAGAAAATAGATTTGAGTACAAACAGCTTGTGAAACTTAATACTTTTTTTTCTTTTTCTCTTTTTTTGCATCATTGGGGGTGGGTTTGCTGAGCTGGTGCCCACTCAGTCTGCAGTTCAGGGGCGGGGACCCTTGTGAATGGGCGCCTGTGCTGTCTTCCGTCCTTGGGCACAGTCGTGACAGGCAAGCCGTGACCGCCCCGGTGTGACCACGTGGTCATCCTATCAGCAAAAGGGAGCCGCAGGGGACCAGAGTCATGGTGGGGTTGGGTGGGTTTTTCCTTTTGGGGAAACTCCTGATGTAACATTCGAGAGCCAGGTGCTCTGGACCACTTGTGCCCCAGGGGCTGAAAAGGGAAAGGCTCTACTCTGTCCTTGTGACTGGATGTACAGATGAGACGGTGAGCACACGAGCACAGAAGCTGGGTGGTCGGTCATGGCGCCCGCCCGGGTCTCCGCTTGCCTCGCGGTCAGTGCGGTGGTGGCAGCCGCAGCTGGGGTGTTATCCAGAGTCATGTCAGAAGATGCCCGTCCTTGGCTCATCCTGCGCACTGCTTGGTCCCAGGTGTAGCTGCGCAACGCTGGCCTCTGCTATTGCTCGTTGGGGTGCTCCCTATTGTCCCCATGTTTTGTGGGCTGGTTGGGAGAAGGAGCCTGGGAGGGGTGTGCCACCGTGGGGAGGTTGTGGGTGACGGGGATGCCCCCGGGGACGATGCCTTCCATAGCTGCAGGAAGTCCTCCCGGGGCCACGCCCACGATGCCCGGTGGGTACCTGCCAAGCACAGACCAACTGGTCAGCCGCACCCTCTGCCGAGGTTTCTGCCGCCTTCCCCCACCAGGCACTCAGGAACGTGTGTACCTGATCCTCACAAAAGGAAGCTCACACCAATCCAAACCACAGCCTAGCACGCACACCCTTGGGTCTGAGCGGCAGAGTGGAGGGGGATGGGTGGGGGTTTCCAAGGTGGTAACTCGCTCCAGCCCCCCTCCCTGTGGGGTACCGCATCAGCTGAGGCCAGAGCCAACCAGATGTTGTCCCCATTCATCCTGCACAATGTCAGGCGGGTCAGGAATCCCACCTGCATTGCAACCCTCTGAGCGCAGAGGGAGAGGCTTCTAAAATTCATAGGAACATTCCATTTCTTTGGATCTCATTTCCCATGACTTGTAAGCCTCCTTGTGCCAGGGCCCTGCAGGGTGGGGGTGTGCAGAGCTGAAGTCCTGAAAGGGCAAGAGGGGCTCCCACTGGGTAGGCCTGGCAGCCGGCTGAGTGAGACCTGTCTGTCCCTTGGGGCTCCAGTGGTGAGTAAGAGGCTCAGCAGCCAACTTGAGAGGTGCACAGTTCACAGCCTGGGACCCAGATATGGAGGGGGCTTCCTCAGTGATGAGTGACAGCCCTTGGGGAGTATGCACGGCTGTTTGCCATTGTCCCCATCTCCCGGGATGGTGCTGTCCCCCTCCTGTCGCGATGCGTGCAGGGGGTGCTGCCAGCACAGTGGATTTGATTTCTAGGCTGCATGCTTACGTGTAGGGGTTCTGCCCATGTCTGCCCCACCCCACAAACTGTTTTTGGTCCCATGGCTTGCCCCAAATACATTCAATCCAGAACCAGGCTTTGTACTGAAAATCCTAATTAAAGAAAGTAGAAGACCTTGTGTGCCCGGAGGGCAGCCCCACCACCCCTTTCATTAGGAGCATCTGTCTCCTCATTGCAGCTCTGGGCCCTAGGAGAGCTGAGGACGACCCGGGGGTCCCCCGACCCCGGAGGGCCCTCCAGTTCCTCTTCTCACCGGTATGTGGCACCGTTGAGCTCCGGATGAATTGCTTGCTGATCGATGACTGACCATGGAGCAGCTGTGACAAAGAATTCCTTGTTCACACAGTTCCTTAGGCTTTCTGGGATGCGACCTGCAATAAGACCACCACCGTCAGCCCTTGGTCATGGGACGGGGCGTTCTCAGTAATGTCTGACTGAAGCCTCCGGGTCTACGGCATGACTTCCCCACTGTCCCCCCACCTTGTTACAAATGTTTGTATGACAGCCCAGGGTCAAGTACAGGAATCTACTTCACAGCCTGCCCACCCCAGCCACCGCATCTCAAGCTCACTGCCATGCAAAGGGCTGCTTTCCCCTAGGGGACTCGTGCACTGAAACAGACCTGACCCCCACTCCCCAGGGGTGCCGCTCACCTGTGATGGCCCGGCGGATCTCCGTGGCAGCGGCCTCCCGCATCTCCAGGGAGGCTTGCTCACTGTACCAGGCCGTGTGGGGTGTGCAGATGAGGTTCGGGGCATCTTTCAACGGGCCCTGGGCAAAGCTAGGAGGTCCAGACCAGAGCCTGTCAGTGACTATCTGAGGTGCATGGGGACCCACACCTCCACAGGGGTGTCCTTTCCCACGGGTTATGGGGACCGGGAGAGTGATCAGTGTGCCAGAAACCGGAAGTCGAATGCTCTGCCCACCTTCCCGCCAAGCAGCACAGGCTGACGTCCCCAGCAGTTAGAGGATGCCTGCCTGCCCACAGAACCCAGCCCTGCCATGGCCAGCAACCCTGCCGGCCTGCCGGCTCGGGGTGCCAAGGAGTATGCCCTAGGTTCCAAGTGGGGGTAGACTCAGGCCCTGGCTGCCCCACACCCACCTGAAAGGCTCTGATTCGTGCACGTCAAGGGCAGCCCCTCGTATCCGTCCTTCCTTGAGGGCTTGGGCTAAGGCTTTCTCGTCCACCAGCCCGCCTCGGGCTGCGTTCACCAGGAAGGCTCCTTGTCTCATCTGTGCGGAGAGAGGAGCCACTTAGATGTGCCGCCACCTCACCCGCAAGTACACCGAACCCATAACTCCGAGACCAGAGCACAGGTGTCCCAGGGTGTGCAGGGGCTGCAGACCAAGGACCACCTCTGCGTAGCCTGGGAGGTGAACATGAGGCCGTCACCTGGGTGAGGTCTGATGTCGGTGGGCTGTGTTCCCCCCACCCCCCATAGCTCGCCTGGCCGTGGTTTGTCTTGGGACCCTGCTCTTGGGCGTGTCCAGAGCAGCTGCCCGTACCGCGCGGTGTCCATGAGCTGGCAGCAGGCCTCTGCGGGGCGGGCCGGACCTGGCGGTTACCTGCTTGATGGTGAAGTCGTTGATGAGGTGGTGGTTATGCTCATTGAGGTTACAATGTAGGGACACGCAGTCGCTCTGGTACAGCAGGTCCTGCAGCGTGTAGATCCGCTGCACGCCCAGGGACCGCTCAATGCCGTCCTGCAAGTAGGGGTCGTAAAAGATGACGCTGAAGCCGAAGGCCTTGGCTCGAACAGCGACCGCCTGCCCCGTGCGACCTGTGGAGACAGAGGATTCTGGTGAGGCCTGTGTCCCTCCCCGCCCCCACAGCGCTGAGACCACTGGGCTGGGGGCTGAAGGGCCACACGAGACCCTGCTGCTGCTGGCTCCTGTACTGGACACAACGGTGGAATCTATTCAACCTTTATTATGGACACGTGGGCACACAGAGCCCTGGTTTCGACACCCCCATCCACCCACAGGCTGAGTAAGCACATTGAGTTGTTCTGTCCAACACCCTTGGTCCTGTGGCCTCGGCTGTTGGGGAGGAGCAGAGCCAGTGTTCAGGGGTGAGTGACCCACCCACTAGTCTCCAGGGTGTTCAAGCTATAGAGGCGCCTTGAGGCCAACAAGCTCCCAGACTCAGGCCCCCCCCCTGGCCTGTGCTGCTGAGGGTCCAGGAAACCGCCTCGCACAAATGGAGACCTCCTGAGAGCTCCCCGCTACCTAACGTAACAAGGTAATGCAGAGAGCCAGTGCCCTGTGGAAGCTGGGGTTTGGCAGCCACTGTGCCTGAAGGACAGCTGCAGGGCAGGGAGGCGCCCTACTCAGCGTGCCACGCTCTCCAAATTCACCATCAGCGGGAAGGAGGTTGTGTGAAGGTTGGCCAGAGACCCACACTTCCTGCTCCCAGGGCGCAGGAGGGCTTGGAGATGAGGCACATCTCAGAGCAAAGCTTAGTAAACGGTGGGAAGTCAAAGTAGTGTGGTGAAAACTCTTGCAAGAGGTGGTTTTCTGAATATGCAGCAACAAAAACTCAGCATCAAATGGGCCCTGAATTGGAGATGCTTCCGGCAGTGATGGCCTGCTGCTGGCAAGCTTCTTGGGCAATGGGGGGTCTCGAGTGGAGAGTCTAAGCCGGGTTCCGAGCCAGCAGGGGGCGCTGTTTCTATCCCCCAGTGTGGTCCGCACACTGGAAAACCAGCAACCCAGGGCCCATCGGAGCTGCCCAGTATCAGTGATGCACACTACATTAAACACAAAGCCCCGAGGAGGAGGAAACGTTAGTAAGGGTGCCCCGTGGTATACCAGGGTGCTCAGGCACCACACAGGGAAGACAGGCCCTTCCACAAGAGACCGTGCACCCACCTTGCTCAAGCTCTGTGCTTCTCAACCTTCCTAATGCCATGACCTCTCATACAGTTCCTCATCTGGTGGGGACCCCCAACCATCAAATTATTTTCGTTGCTACTTCATCACTGTCATTTTGCTACTTTGATGACCCAAAGGGGTCTCAACCCACAGGTTGAGAACTGCTGGTCTAGCACATGCCCTTATCTCCTGGGTAGGTGACCCTCCCAAAGTCCCTGTCCTGACTCTCATGGCCTATCAGTGAGCCAAGGGGGTATTCCTGCACTGGACAGCCTTTGGACAGCTAGCTCCACAGTGGGGCTGGTCACCAACCTCGTTTTATCCAGGCTGGCAGGGCCAGGCAGTGTCCTTCCCTGTCCTACCTGGGGGTGCTGTGAGCGTTGGCCCTGGTGGGCCTGGAGACCAGACCCAGGGCTCAAGGCCCCACTACTGCCATCTCACCGGCCTGAGTCCCGATGGAGAAACCAGCTCAGAGAGCTGGCTGGTGGTCACTGATACCCGCTGAGGCCCAGGAGCCCTGAGACCAGGCTACTTCCCCCCCAGTTTGCACCCCTACTTCTTTCTCTGCCACACCCACCTGAGGATACTCTCGGCCTCCTTTCTAAACCACTGCCCTGGCCTGGCCAATCCCTGCTTGGAAGCCCCCTCAGTGAAGTCTGGGCATCCTGACATTGTGGGGCTCGCTGGGGGCCAAGCCCTGCCCCGTTTAGCTTGGAACATACCCCGTGTTGGGCTAAGCGGGCCACAACCCTACAGGAGGTCGTGTGACGCAGGGGCTGGGGCAGAGGGAACACATACCGAAGCCGATGAGGCCCAGTGTCTCCCCTCGGATTCGGGCCGCGCCTGAGGCCACCTCCCGGATCTGCTCCACGCTCTGGACCCGTGTGCCCTCGCGCAGTGCCTGGTACAGCCACGTGTTCCGTCGGTAGAGGTTGAGGATGTGGCAGAGGGTGGAGTCGGCTGTCTCCTCCACTGCGGCCGAAGGGATGTTGCAGACGGCGATGCCTGCAGACAGCGTGCAGGAGGCTGCTGTGAGGGGTTGCACTCGGGGAGGGGCAGCGAGGCCTGGGCCCGCCTCCCTGCACCACCTGGCCTCCAAGTCCTGCTCCCAACCCCCAGGGGGCATTCCCAGCCAGGGCTGCACTGCGTTCCAGGGTGATCCTGTGCACGTCCTGGAGGCACCGCTGTGTCTCGCGGTGGGGCCAGCATTGGGCAGTTTTTAGCAGAGTTCTCCTATGAACAGGGAAGAAAGGCCTGGCCGCAGGCGGCTGAGGCACGAATGGGCTGGAGCAGCCATGGCTAGGTCTGCGGTCCAGATGGGACACCAGTGGGACCACTCTTGTCACTCTGATGGAGGTGGCCTCTGCTGCAGAGCCAGCCTGGCTGCTATCTGGGGTACTGCAAGGCCCGGACAGTGGGGACAGTGTTGGACCCTGGAGGAGCAAGGCCACTGGCCCACACGATAGGCATCACATGGACCCACCCGTGGGGGGTGGGAAGGAGCTGCAGGGAGGGAGACTGAGTCAGGCTGCAGCTCAGCTTCCAACAGCCCCGGCTCCCATGCAGGAGGGAGAGGTGGTGTCCAGACATGCTGCAGAAGGAGCCTGGCTGAAATGACGGTTAGGGATGTTGCCAGGGACAGTCCTGCCAAGACAGTACCAGGCAGGACCTTCTTCACCGTCCCGTCCAGACGGGGTCCAGAGCGACTCTTCAGATCCCCCGTCTTTGCACCCAGCTCTTCAGTGGCGGGTGCAGTAGAACCTGGCTGTGGACACCCAGGCCCTGTCCACTGCCACGTATCCCAGACTGCCCTGCTGCAGGAAAGGCACACCGGCCTGTGGGCCACTCTGCATTCATGAGGGACACTGAAGACATGGTTGGCAAGTCCCCCAAAGATGCCCCCTCTTCAAACAGGCCGTTTCCAGCCCTGCCTGTGCTCAGCACCTACCCCGAGTGGACCAGCTCCCCGCCCCTGCAGCCCTCACCCACCCAGCTCGCCGGCAGCCTTGATGTCCACGTTGTCGTAGCCGCTGCCTATCCGCACGATGACGCGTAAGGCCTTGAACTTCTCCAGGTCTTCTCTGGTCAGGGTGATGGTGTGGTACATCATGGCGCCGACGGCTTCGTTGAGCACCTGCGGGCACAGACCATGCGTCAGAGCAGCAGCCCCTGCCCGGTCCTGGGGCTTTGCTGGGAATTGCGGGAACGGGGAGTGTGCTTGCATGTGGCTGACTGTGCCTGTGACTCTGTGCGTCTGGGTCTGCGTCTGTGTGCACGTGCCCACCTTCTCGTGGATCTCCTGTGTGGCCTGGGCATCACAGAAGGCCACGGTGGCGAGGTCCTTCAGGATGGGCATCTCCACGGTGCAGTCCCGGCCGTCCAGCAGTGCCACCAGGGGCCGGGGGTGCAGGGGGCCGTTCATGATCTGGGGGCGGATACCTGCGGGGGTTGGGGAGAGATTACAACACATGCCCGTGATTGATGGGTCCCAAACACCCTGGGCTGCAGCAATTTCGGTGAAGGCCCACCCATGCTCCAGGGGCACCTGGCCTCATTTGCCAAGTCACTGCTGTCCAGGGTGGTCTACACGAGGGGGCAGGGGCTGCCACCTCTTGAATGCCACCCCTTGACTTGCAAGGGAGAACAGGGCGACTGTGGCTCCCTTTCCCAAAAAGATTGGCCCTGGCCTCCATCAGTGACCACCTTGCTTACTGCCCACGAGTGACACTCCACGTGGACCATGCAGGGACGTCTTCCTGCAGGGAATGTGTTACCAATAGGCCAGCTGGCATAGACAGTCCCCACCGTTCTGCACCACAGGGGTAGTAGACACCAGGCACCAAATGGATGGGCAGCACCGTCAGCCCCGGGGGCAAGGGCGGGGGTACGTGTTGAGGACTTTGGAGATATCTAGAAGTTACTGGCAACCTCAGCAGCACAGCCTCTCAGAATCTGCCCCTCGCATCCACACGCCAGGCCTTCCTCATGAGACTCCTCCTGACCACGTGACCATGGCTCATGGCCTCTAGGAAGACCCCGGCCACGGTTTGCCCAACAGTGAGCGCACAGCCGGGGGTGTGCGCAGTGAGCATCTGTGGCCGCTCAGCTCCCCGAGCCAGGCAGGGTCCTCCCTGTACCCAAAGGTTCACCCCAGCTCAGGTTGCAGCAGTGGGGCAGGGGAGCCCCCCATTGGCTGTCCCCTGGGAGGAACCCCATGATCAGCTGCAGGGTGACCCCGAGGCAGCAGGGATGCCCCAGACCCAGGAGCAGGTGGCAGCTCCCAGTGGCATCTGCCTGTGTGGCCTGCACCTCACAGCCCAGGGCTCACCTAGGACCCATGACTCCCAGTACGTTCCAGATTTTCCCCACATGGCCAGGACCCTGCACAGCCCACTGGGGCTCCTGGAGCATGTGGGGCTTGGTAAACCACAGTCAGTGAGATGCTGGGAAGGGAAGCTTCCAGTCCCCTGCACACGGCTGATTCTCTTCTCCTGGGCCCCAGGACACCGAGGGGCCTGGGCAGGGCTGCTGCTCGGCCCTTGGAGACTCCACAGCACAGCTGCATCAGGTCAGGACAACCGTCTCTGTGTCGGCCTCAGACGAATGGCCGTCCTGCACGCAGCCCCAGCCTGGGGCCCTGCAGCTGCTCCATCTGGGCTGGGAGGCGAAGTCACCGACACCCTGGTCTGAGCGCCTCCGGCCCCCCGCGCTGGGCTCCGCTGCCGCCTCCCGAGACTTGGGACCAGAGTGCCCCAGGCCCCAGGGGAGGCCTGCATGGGCCACTTGCTGGCGGAGAATTATGAGGGGCAGCTGCTCCTAGCTGTTTCTGGACAAGTTGAGGCACAGAGTTAGCTAAAGAGCAAAGGTGACACGAATCCACAGGCCTGTTGATCCCAGAGGGACACCCCTCTCCTGATGTCTGCACTGGACCCCATCTAGAGGGAGCAGGGACATGTGAGGCTGGCACCTCAGCTGGAAATCCAGGCGCTCCACCTGTTCTGACCCCCAAGGGTCCTTCCCACTGCAGCCTCCTCACCCGCCTGCGGGCTGCCTTGCTGGGGTCGGTCAAGACCCTCCTGCCCTCGACCCCATAGCGAACCCCACAGGGCAGCAGAGTTCAGTTATGCCTGAAAAGGTGGCCTGACACTTCAGCTCCGAACTTCCAGTGCTCATTAAAAAGCAACTCCACAGCCCAGCAGCCCTGGCCTCTGGAGGCATCCAGGCACCTGAGAGAAAAACCACGAGATGTCAGTCCTCGGCAGTGGTGTCTGGTCCCTGTTACCGGGGCAACAAACTCCAGGTTGCCTAGCGATCTCCTCCGTGCTGTTCTCTCTGGTGGAACCCCACCTGTGCCCCCCTCCTGCAGGCTGGGCCTGTAGGCGTCCTGGGAGTTCGCAGTGAGGCCCCATGTGTGGGCTTCCAGACTTGAATCCTTGAATGCAAGGTGGGGCAGGCGAGCTGCTGCTGGGGGGAAGCTCCCAGGAGAGCCAGCTGGGTGTCCAATACGATGGGAATCCCATGGGGCTGTGAGCCCCCTGCCCCTGCCCCCGCCCCCCAGGCAGACCAGGACCCGCTTCTCTAAACAAAGAGGCCACTGGCAACTTGCTCCCGGTGGGAACATGTCAGCCTGCGTCCCTGGGAGCCAGTCAGCTCAGACCCCCTTGCAGACCTCCGTGGCCACCGGCAGTCAGATCCTGATTCCCCGTGAGCCTGGGAAACGAGCGGAACCCTGCCTGGTCCCGCCTCACCTCCACAACTGCTCGGTTTCAGCCCGTTTTGCAGCCACTATGTCAATCCCCCTCAATGAGGGGCTTCTTCTAGCCGCCCTCCCTCTACTTTACCAAGTATGCTGTCCCTTGACAACACGTGGCAGTGTGCCGAATCCTTGCAGCGCCCCTTTCAAGGAGCATCCGGACTGCACCAGTCCAGCAGTCGGAGGCAGGCAGTATTTCCCGCAGACACCGTGATTCACAGGCATTAGTTCTCCAGCCTGCCTGCCTTCCCCCCCTCTGCGCATCCACGCACGGACAAGGCTGTGGGAACACCCCTGCCCTCCAGGGGGCACCTCTGCTCAGGGCGACACAGCCCATCAGTTGTGTTGACTGGGGCGTCCACAGGTGGTGGTGACGGAAGCTGGCAAGCTCTGACACGTGTCACTTAGCGGCCAGTGGGGACTTCCTTGTCCCCTTCACATCGAGGGGCAACTCCAACCGAGGGCTGTCGTCTTCGACCCTCATCGGTTCAGTGCTCTTGGCCAGTGAGCAAGGCGGTGTCCCCTGACGACAGCCCCGATGTCCCGTTTTGACTGGGGGCCAGCCTCCCGATGACTCGCTCAGGATTCAGGTGAAATTAAGAATGGCCAAAGGGTCCAACCATGACACGCAGCTCTCCTGGTTTTACACCGTGTGGCATTCCTAGGCTGCCTCTGTGTCTCTGTGCAGGAGCAGAGTGGTGTTCTGGGCACCCACTCCTCGCCGTGCTACCTGTGATTTGCTAAGATACAGTCGAATGCCTGTGCGTCTCCAGTCACCCATGGGTAATCTGCTTTCTGGTCTTTTCGACGCTGGCCAGCCAGCCCTCATTCCACAGCCCTTCCCAGCCCTGGACCGGGAAGTTGTGACGAGGGCCAAACTCGGGGCCAGTGTGTGGCTGGCTGTGTGCTTCAGCGGATCCTCCGTGCCCACGTGCGAGTGACTCACTGTGGACACCTCGCACATGGCTGCCCCTTGGGGTTCAGCCCGACTGAGTCCCTCATTGGCTCTGTCTGCACGCTCCATTGCATTGTGGGAGCTCGTCCTTCTACACCAGCAAACCCAGGAGCCAGGCTCGGCAGAGGCCCGGGCTTTTGCAGAGAGCAGATGACCGTGTGTGGCATTTCAGGGAGACCAGAGGGGCCGCGCGGGTGGGCTGGGGGAAGGAGCCAGAAGAGGCCGGGGGAGCAGGATGAGGCTGGGTTCCATGACCACACGAACCAAAAAGCTAGGCACTTCCACCGTAAGGTTCAAGTTGAAAGAAGAAATGCCAGACACGGTCCTTGGGGTTGTCTCGGGGTTGTCCGTGGGCCATGTGGCCAGCCTCCTCAGTGTCCCGACCAGTTTGGGTGCTGAAGCGTGAGCCTGTCCTAGTGCTCCTCAGGCATAGGGGGGTCCTCAGTCCCCGAGCAGTTCTGGGATCCAGGCTACTGGCTCCTGTCAGGAGTGCCACAGGCCGTGCAGCTTGTCCCCACCCTGCCTGCGCTGGTCCAGGTTCTGGGGCGCCCCTAGGCCATCCAGTTTGTGATAGTAACAGATTCAAGGTGCTAAAAACTCAAGACTGTGAAGCAAGTTCTCCTCATGACAAAGCCGTGGCTCTTAAGACGTGGACGGGGGACGCCAGAGCTGATGGACACTCGTGATGGGGAACTGCGCTCCAGCCTTCAGAGTTCACATCTGAGGTGCCCTGTGGCTTAGACAGAGGGAGGAAGATGTACAGGCCCGACAGAACGCAGACACCACCCCTTTTCTGGTCTGTGCTCACAGCAGACATCACTAGTGGATCCCGGCACACGCTCAAGCCAGCACTCTTGGTCTGAGTCCTTTTGGCCCCATCAGAGCACACTCAGCTGAGCAAGATGGGCCAGCAGGTCTGGATTCTAGCTCTCCCCAAGGAACCCCTGGCCCTGTGGACATGTAAGAACTGTGTCCGTGTCTCCCAGCCAGGCCACACTACGCCGAGGGGCCTGGTCTCAGCACCCTGAGGAACTCTCGAAGGGCGATTTTCCAGGCGACACCGGCGCACGGTGAAGCATGGGAACCCTCCGTGCTCAGCTGACACCAGAAGGAAAAGCGTGCCTGGAGCTCCCCAGAGGGGTCCCGGGTCTGGGCACCACCTCAGCGGCGGTGGCAGGGCTCTGGCGTCACCAATAGACACACATCTTCAGGAGGTGGCCCTACAAGCACTAGTCCTCGTCCTGGGAGCTCAGGCCACGTTGTTGATAAGGCAGCGGCCGTGGGGACAGATGGGCAGGGGTGCATGTGTGAATGAGGCAGACAGACATGCAGACGGCCACGGGAGCAGAAGTACACCACGCCACAGACTCGTGGGAACCACAGCACTGGGCACCTACTTGTGTCACATCAGCAGGACCAGCATGGGTGTCCCTGGAGCGGGTTCTGGGAGTGATACAGTGAGGCTGTTAGCAGACACCATGCCCAGCAGGGAGCCGGACAGAGAAGAGGGACAGGCCATCGTAGTTGGAGCCAGGTGCCACCCAGGCCAGCCACTCACCTCTGCACCTCCCTTCCCACTGAGCCCCCGAGCTGGCTCTCTTCCTATCAGACACCTGTGTGAGGGGCGTGAACTCCAACCGAGACCCTCAACCGCTGCTCCGCCAACTGATGACCCTTGGGATGTTGCCAAAGGCTGGGTCCCTACATAGGTCCTCCCAGGACACAGCAGGC